CATTCCTACTATCTCTCATTCAAGGTCTGAAGAATTGAACTCAGTGGGACACAATCCAGCTGTATGATGCACAGTCATTTGATGTGGCTTGGACTTACGTGTGGATTGTGTACATGTCAATCCACATCTACTGCTTTAACTTTTAACATCTCAGAACCATTTTTCTGCTGGTAGAAGGGAGTGATACTTTAAAGACAAAATCAAAGGCTCCCTTGTCAGCGAATTTGTCAAAGGCTTCTCCCTTCCAACATACCAAAAGAGCATCTCACAGGCTCTCTTGATAAACCTACATGAACCACCTTGGGCAAAGTTAAATGATGAATGGTCTGGAAATTTTTCTTGTCCTCTAGTTTATTGTATTCCAAAAAAGATGTCTGTCTTATCAGCAGCAATGTTTGCTGAAAGAAAATCTGAGGAGCAATAATTGAATGAAAAAATAGTGGAGCCTGGATGTCTGGTCACATACTAATCAGTGAGCTTAATGCTTTTGCCAGCAGAAGGCTTTATTGCAGCTACCAGCACAGTCATCTCATTTCCACTCATTGTTAATGTCAGCGGGGAGGAATATTATTTTTCTGCTCATTTCAAATATATACATTTGCCCTGGAGAAAGCATCTGTGGCAGTAATCGCAGAACACTTTGGCAGTTATATGTTTGATCCTTCTTTTTGCAAGTGTGTGAAAACATAATTTTTTTTAGCAATATTGCAATGGCCCTACACTTAAATGGGACAAGTACTTTCAAGTTCCTTTGAATAACGCAGTTAAATAATTTTGCTTCTGAACTTTTTATGGCACTTTTTTTTAGTATAGGATTGCTGCCCCATAATGTGTAACCAGTGCATTGATAAGAGATGCTCCTGGCATATGGAACATAGTGTTCTGGGGATTCCAGCTAGGCCACAGTCAGCAGTTAGTGAGGTTATGCTGCCCTCTACCATGAACTCAGTTTCTTACACTCAGCCAATTTACCAAGCAGGCCAACACCTGTATGACCTTCAACTTTATCTAAAAGTCTCTTTTGAGAGATTATATCCAATGTCTTTTGAAATACTGTAAAAGATCTCCTCTCTTGTTTTATCGCTTCATCCTTCCCAAGTGATGCCTCCACCCTGATTTCCAATCTCTCTCTCTCCCTCCTCCCCATTCTCCACTGGAGCTTGGTGCTGAAGGCCCACACTCCTGGCAGCAAGTCAACCTCGCAACTTGGCTGGCTGTGACTGGGGAGTCAAGTCCTGAAATACAGCACATGTTGTTTTAACCAGCGCCTTGTAAACCAGTCCTCTTGATAATCCGGCAAAGATTATATACCTGAAACACTGACAGTTTACTGTATTATTGTGATCTCCGCGATGTCCAAGTAGTTAGTTGAGGGTGTGAGTGAGAAGGCTGTCTGTCGGTAAGTTTTATTCAAGGCAAAGTTGCATTATTATTTAAGTGATTTATGTTGTAAATAAAGTATAACAGTGGGTATAACAGTATACCCACTGCATTGCATTTTTATTACTTAGTGCTTGCTTTTACAGTGATTCTGTAGACATCTTGATCAACCGGAATATTTGATCAACTGGCACTCTTCTGGTCCCTTAGGTTCTGGTTGGTAAAAAGTTTGCTTTAGTAAGCAGGTTAAATTTATCAGGACCTGAGGGAAACCTTTTCTTCCAAGTATCCTGACTGCAAGATTGCACCTTTCCTCCATCCCACTGATCCTTCTGCAGCTCTCTGTATGGATTAAGAGTCTTAGTGGTTGCATTTGTTTAAGTAGATCACCAGGAAATTTTTGTTCCTGCCACGAGGAAGATTTCTCTTCTCATGTATTAATTTCAATGTTTTTTTCACAATAAATAAAATCGTAATAAAATATTTTACTTTTAGTGAAAACTATATATTTGGCAAGTTTGACACATTTTGCAAGCGTCTGGAGAAGATTACATTCATGATAAACACTATGGAAAACCTTTCAGATCTTCAGAATGTTAAAATGGAGGGATTTGACAAAATATATGTGCGTTATCAGACAATTATCAACAGCACAAAATCAAAGACTTATGATGTGCTGGACCACAGGAAACAAGAGGTAAAACATTCTATTGTTATTACAGACCATGTAGACTTCATTCCTTTTCCTTTATTGAAATGTATTTGATGCATAAAATTAGAATATAGTCAATGAATCTTGGGAATATTTTAGCTGCTCAGCAGAGTAAAGTAATGACACATTTCAACATGAATAACATGGAGCAATGGGACAGTAGTTGCTGAAAGTGATAGTTGACCATTGTGATTGTTATTTCCTCTGTGGTGTAGATATTTCTGAGCTGAACTATTTCCCACATAATAAAATGTGCAGAAAAACCTGCCCAAGGAAGCACTGAAAGTTCTTAGTGTCTGGAAATTCAAGATAGGGTTGAATGAGTTTTTGGCAGTTGTAGATGATAAGTATGGTGTGCTATGTTATCTTTAGAACCTTTGCATAGGAACGTTCACCGCAAACCAGTCTTCCTCCATCAAAAACAGAAATTGCTGGAGAAAGTCAGCATGCCTGCGAGCATCTGTGGGGAGGAAACATAATTAGAATTTCAAGTCCAGTGACTGTTCATTGTGAAGAGGTCTCATATCTCTGTTTTCTCCCCACAGATGTTTTCAGACCTGCTGAGTTTCTCCAGCAATTTCTGTTTTTGTTTCAGATCTCCAACATCCATAATTCTTTGCTTTATTTTGCTGTTTCCTCCCATATTGCTTTTTTCTTCCCCAATTGTTTTAGTAACGTTTATTCCTAGTGATGACAATTCATGGTGTAAGGCTGTGGCAGGAAGTAAACCTGAGGCAGGGGTGCAATAGTCATGCAGACAGTCCAGTTCACAAAATTCACATGTACCTTGGTTTGAACAGATGCAATCTAATTCAGTTGCACTGCATCTGTCTAGGTTTGATGGATAAAAGAACTATTTCTTTGAATTGCATATGGAACTGCAGCTCTAATGAATTGCTTAGTCCCTTTCTTGAGTGAGAAAGTGCCCTAAGATGTTATGGTTTATCTCATTTATACGTGAGATACAGGCATCACTGGCTAGGGCAGCATTTGTTGCCTATTTCACGTTGCCCTTGGGAAGATGTGGTGAGCTGCCTTCTTGAACTGCTGCAGTCCATTTGCTCTAGGTATACCTACAATGTTGTTAGCGAGGGATTTCCAGGACTTCGACGCAGTGACAGAGGGAATGGTGACAGATTTTCAAGTCAGGATGGTGTGTGGCTTGGAGATGAACATGTTTCCCATGGTGTTCTGATACATCTGCAGCCCTTGTCCTTCTACGTGGTAGTGATTATGGGTCTGGAAGATGCTTTCAAAGGAAGTTTGGTGAGTTCCTGTAGTGCATCCTGTAAATGATACATGCCACTGTCTATGCATCAGCAGTGAAAGGTATGGATGTTGAACGTGATGCATGTGGTGTCAGTTAAGCTGACTCTTGTCTTGGATGTTGTTGAGCTTCATGAATATTGTTGGAGTTGCACCCATACAGGCAAGTGGAGACTATTCCATCACAGTCTTGTCTTACGTCTTGTAGTCTTTTGGGAGATAAGAGGTCAGTCACTCACCTCTTACCTGCACTTGTACTCACAGTTACTATTATTATTAATGATTAATATTACAATGAATTCAATGAATAATGTATTTAATAAGAACAAGTAATGTTGTAACTTATGCTTACTTTTCAGTTTGACAATGATTACATGGAATTTAAATGCCAGATAGATGGACTTTATCAGTCAATGCAAACTTTCATGGATTCCTGGTTTGAGCAGTCCTTAACTGTAAGTAATATTAAAACAAACATTGAAAAATACTATCACTATAAGCCTATTACCTTCACTGTTTTCTGGTATTTTTTCAGACAGAACGTATGCTAGACTTGCTGGGCAAATTTGTGCGTATTGCTGGGCCTCAATTGGATCTTACAGACAAGTATTTCATGCTTTTGCAACGATTTGGACGAGATTTAGATCTTATACGCAGAACCTACCAGAAACAAAGAGAAAATCCACCCATACCACGTAATATTCCACCTGTAAGCCTACAATGCTAATTACCATTTCTCTTCTCATAAAAGCTTTTTATATAGAAGTTCCACTTCTCATTAGACATTTTCAAAGCAGAATCTACTTTAAAGTACATAAAAGCAATTTGTGTGGATGGTCTTCAATGATTCCTGAAGGCCCCAAACTAGGCCATTCTTTGTTTTCTTTTATAAAAGGAGTATATTGATCATATGGTCAATATTTCTGACACTGTAACAGTCACTAAACTTCAAAAGCAGTTTATTGTCTTTAAAGAACTTTCTGACGTCCTGAGGTCATGAAAGTCGATATGCATACTTTCTTTCATTGGAAAGTGCATGGTGTGTTCAATCTTGTAAAGTATTAATAACTGTGTGAAATCTTCTGGTTGGAAGGTGTCTGGGAAGATTATGTGGGCCCGACAGCTATTCAGAAAAATAGATATTCCCATGAAGTTTCTGAAAAGCAATGTTGAAATTTTGAAGGTAACTTTATACATGCTTGATTTGTTATTAAAAAATGAGCAATATGAACTTTTTGACTGAATAAGAAAGTTTCACCAATACGATGTTTCAGTTTTAATGTTTACAGTAATACTGTATTTTTTAAATGTTCTTAGACCCCTGATATGAAAAAAGTTATCAAGAATTATAACAAGATGGCAGCTGTACTTCTGGAATTTGAGGTGTTGTATCACAGGGGTTGGTGCCGAGCTGTTGACTTTGCTCAAAATGGACTTCATGCCTCACTGCTTGTGCGACATCCTGAGACTAAGGTTAAGATATTATTCACTAACAGTACTGTGTCAATGTTTATAAATTATGCAGCAAAACAGTTCAGTGCATGTAAGTTTTAAATACTTGCACATTAAGTGCATTGTTTTTTGAAGTCTCCAGTATAATAATGGAGAAAGACATACACAATTTAATATAAGTTAGTATTACCTTTTTCATTATATCTATGTTTTGATAGGTGAAGTCTATTTTATAAATCATTTGGTTTAGAACTGTGGGGCAGAATCTTCTGGTCCCACCTGAAGCTTTCTGAAATTTGGTTGGATGAACTTAATTGAATAGGAAGCAAAAATTTGTCTTTCTGATGGTGGTTTAAAAATTTGTTATTAATTTCTGAAAACCTTTCAGGCAGTTCAGCTTTCCTGATCTTAATTGCTGGGAGCTTCTTCTGCATTTCTTTAGGATGCCATGATTACTCATTAATACCTCAGTCTGCTGGACTTAGGTTCACTGGCACAATCTTTTCAGCCAATAACAAGAAGCATGTGTGTTCGCAATCATAACTATATTTATGAAACAGATACCTGATAGGATAGGCTTCTTCCTCCAAGCTCCAGTGAGTACAAGCTTCTGTTATGTAACTGCTTATATTTCCAGCGAAGTTACCCCTCATTATCATATCTTTGATTTAAATGATTCTTTCTGGCTTCTTCACTGTGAGCTGTGTAATCTTATTACCCTAATACCCACAAAATTGAGAGCTAACAGTTTCATCGCTTCTGGTAACCTGGAGATTTCTAACCAACCATTTCTGGTTTGGAAACTGCACAAACTAGCCTTCTGCTGTAGTGACTTATTCCCTGATCTGCTCCTTTCTAGGAGAGAAACTATACTTGTTTCTGACCTCAGTCAATTATCCTCTGACCTGTTCTAAAAGCTTGCAATCTCTGAATTTTCTCAGCTAAAATCATTTCTTGATTATTCTAAACTGAAAATAAGCCAATAGCATTCCCTATTTACTGAGTTATTCCATTAGTGCTCCAGAGCTTTGCAGCCACATGCTTTCTGAAGAGAACTAGATTAGGTCATTGTTCTACAAAAAATCTGACCTTGATTTTAATTTGAAGAAAACCCTTCATAAAAGACACCGACACCCATATGCCAATATTTTAAATATATATATATAATCTCACACCTTTTCTCCCACATGCATTCCACCTGCCTTTCACCAACATTGTCAATGCATGTTCCCCACTCATTGTGTACATTTTCCACATGCAGAAGGAGAAAAGCATAAAGAGACATTGACATGCCTGGATTGATAGATATGCAGTTAAAAAAATTCTCAGAGCTGTTATTGTCCATTTGTATTATTAGCAAGACAAATAAAGTTTGGGAGACGTTAGGAGTTAAAGTGTCTTGGATCACAGAGTGCATCCAAGCTATTCTTTTCAGATTTGTTTAGATGTAGTTGGGAGAAGGCTCGACCACAGCAATTTGCTTAAATATGAACATTCATTGAGTAATAATAAAAGACAAAAAAGGAACATTTATTAAGTAAATAAAAAGATTGAAGAAAAGAGGAAATAAAAACAATAAGAGATAGTAGGAACTGCAGATGCTGGAGAATCCGAGACAACAAGGTGCAGAGCTGGATGAACACAGCAGGCTAAGCAGCATCATAGGAGCAGAAAGGCTGACGTTTCGGGCCTAGACCCTTCATCAGAAATGGGGGAGGGGAAGGGTGTTCTGAAATAAATAGGGAGAGAGGGGGAGGCGGATAGAAGAGGGATAGAGGAGAGGATAGGTGGAGAGGAAACAAACAGGTCAAAGAGGCAGGGATGGAGCCAGTAAAGGTGAGTGTAGGTG